CTCTTTCCAGACTTTGACCTCATAAGGAAAAAAAAAAACTGAACCCATTGGAGCTCCTAATGAGTAGGTAGAGCCCACCCACTTGTCATCCCCAGACATTAGGCACTTTATCTATGATAAGAGAGTCGACAACTACAGGGGCAGATCATAGAAAGCATAGCAGAGTTGATGATTTGTGGACAAACATGAGATATCAAACAAAGAAACTTAAAATTCGATCAGATCTTGTATTTTTTGTAAACATGCCACACTAAAAATTAACTGTAGTATTTTTGGATACATGCTTTCTCAGGGCAAGGCTATGCTAAGTTGAGTTGCACAAGCCGAAGCACCATAACATCATGTGTCAAAAGGCACTAATTATGTAGATCTGGTTTCCCAATAAAAAGTAGTTGATGTAGGACAGAACCTCAGGCAAAGCAACTGGGCTGCTAATGATCGACTATGGCAGTCAAAAGCTATAGTTTTTAGGTTTTTGCAAGGAAACAACACCAGGGTCTCATATCAATTTAGGGATTGAATTTGTCAACGTTTTGCCGCTGATTTTACCAGGAAACTTGAGGATATAACAAGCTAGAATTTAGTGATAGAGATATATCGAGGGTTCAGGTACACAATGATAAGACATGCCTGGGTTAGAGCTTAATTTGATGGCTTATGATTTCATGTCAACTCTGGCATATTGCTTTAATTTCTCTTAACTTCTATTAAATAGAAACACTCTAGTTTGACCTATTCCAACAGGATATATATTATCCTACAAGACAACAGCTTTCCAGGTAAAATTACAATTAAGGGACTGGAAAAACCCGTACAACCAAGCAAGCAGGAATCAAAGACAAACTCTGTAGAACATTATAAATGGACAAAATACAAATCACTCTTGGTTGTAGAACTCTAATTTTTACAACTAAATAATACTGATTTATGGGTCTGTGCCAACCCATCAATAATAGTCTCCAACCATGTGACACCTATAGTGTGAACCACTAGATTGTCAGCGGGGCTCACATGGAAGTTTCAGCTTTTTACCCTTTTCCACAAATACCTTTCAAGGCCCTCATACATCAGACGGCCAAAATCAACTAAAAAATAAAAAATGAAGGGATTTTTTAGTGTACTGTGTGCCAATATGACGTATCTGCTTCATCATCACTTCACCAACAATGACCCACCAGAAAGGAAAGTAGGAAACCCCTAGTAAAGTGTGGAAAACACATTCCAGAGAATGTTGGCTTCAAATTAAGGGGACAATACAAAAACAGAATCTTATTCTGGGCCTAAACTATGAACAAGTTTGACCCTTGCTGGCAGAACTATTCATGAGGCCCCAAAAACATGATTCCATGTACACCTAGCAAGCAAATAGAAAATCAACTCCAACAAAAGGACAAAAGAGCCTGGCAAAGTCTAACATGAAATCTGAGCATTGAATGGTAGAAGAGGAAAATGCCAATAAAACATTAACACCAAAAAGACAAAAAAGTAGTAACAATACCTGTTCAAAACCAAGAAACTTGGCAATACTCAAGTTCATTGACGGATGAAAACGGAGTCCACCTCTACATGGACCTAATGTCTGGTTGAAGTGAACTCTAAATCCTCGATTGACATGTGTTTCACCCCTATCATCAACCCATGGAACCCGGAAAAGAATCATACGCTCAGGTTCTAACAAGCGCTCCATTGTATTGACATAACTGAAATATTGCAAAGCCACTTCTCAACGTTTGCACAAAATCAATGGTCATCATGTTTTTGCTTTGACCAATTAGATTCCGATTATACAGTTCATTATGGAAGTAACTCACTTGGAGTTTTTTGAAATTACTCTTTCTAAAGCATGAACCACTTCTTGGACAGACTGTATGAACTCAACCTCATGAGGATCCCTCTTCAATGCAGCTTCAACAATTGATCCAGCCGTTTTTGACATAAGAGCTTTTATGAGAGCTCAACCATCACAGAAAACCAAAATAAAATTCAAAAATTAGGAAAAAGAGTCTTTCAATCAGTGTCGTATATAAAGAAATGAAGAATACAAATGCATGCATCAAAACAAATTCAGAAACTCTTCGAACAAAGTCATCTGTCCAAATAAAACGAAAAATCTCCAACACATACATTAAAAATTTCTATCAATTTGTATGTTAACAAATTCAATCTTACAAAAAAGAAATTCCAAACAAGTGCATCACTCCTATAAACCAGATAAGATCACTTACAAAAGACGGAAAATGCACCACAATTGGCCAAACACAAGACCTGCTCACTCTTTGGAAAAGTAGGATATGAGATGTATACATGAGGAATTAATAAGGTTGTATCAAGTTTACATCAAAGGAAAAGTTCCAAACTACTACCAGAAAAAATATGCATGGAGATTTCTTGGAGCCCTGCAGCTGGCAGAATTTGAGTCATTCCTAATCATAAATACAAAATCTGCTCTAACAGCAGGTTTTGCTACTTTTCAGGCTTAATAAGACTCTTAGTCAAGTCAAAAAGGCTTGAAGCGTTGGGTTGTCTGCTCCAGTATGTATGACAAAGCAGAGGGGACAGTCAATCATCTGCTGTTGCAGTGACTGTAGAAACAGTATGTGGTCTACACTGCTTCCCTTTTGTAGTTAGTTGGGTAGTACATAGTTCAGAGGGGGTTATTGAGCTTTTAAAGGCAAGATGCTTGACAGGAACGTCAGGGGACACAATGAGGGACCTTTATGTCGAGGAAGGAAATGAATAGCAGGTCTTATGACGTTTCTAATACATATGCTCAAGCATGGTCTTTCGAGTTTGGTACTCTTTTGGAATAAACATATGTATCCAAGGAGCATAGATTCTCTTATAGAGCATTTAACTGATTTATCCTTCTGTATCTCCTCAAGCCTCGGTGGTTCTCTACAGACTTTGCACACACTCCAGATTTTCCACACTTTGCCAGTTAAGAGGAATTTTCTTTACCCCCATTAAAAAAAGTGAACCTTCATATCACAAAATCCAATGTTTAGTGTGTCCATTCCTACTCTAGCGGTGATGTAATAACCTTTTTTATGAAGTAAGCAACAAATACCAGTATTATCTCTACGGCAGTCAGCATTGGAAATTCTATGCTATCCCACAATAGAGGAGTTATCATAAGCCCTGGAATTGTGGCTTTCTCTAAGCCTATCTTTCCCTAAACATTCTATCTTCACTTCCATGGATGCAAACACCTTTCTCCACTGATTCACAATATGGATTTATGCAACTAGTGCTCCTAGTTAATGACTAGACAATGATTTCCAACAGCCAAACAAAACCTTATACATTAACCTGGTGGTTGCAAGAATCTATCAAAGCCTCATGTAGCTATTTTCAGATTTATAATACTTTCGACTTGTTTGGCCAATGAGATATCTAAGTTAAAATTATATTTCATCTGCAAGTTTAGACACCAAACATGTGCACTGATGTCCCCTATGCATCTTCTGATGCTATACACAAGTTCATCAGATTTAGACCACTGGCTAAGGCTCCTAGATGAAAAACTCAATAAAAATTTAAGTGGTAGGGTTAAAGCAGACAGCAATAAAGGAATGAAATTCTAAGTAAAAAGACTTTCCTTTTCTGCCATCATCTATCACTATATGTGTTAAAGTTAAATAATCATGTGCAGGAAGATGTCAAATTGAGTTTAAAATATGCATCCTGCCGGTTTCCAAACTTATAATATCATATATACTCCATCTAAACAGTGTGATGTTAGATAAAGGCACATACAATCCAGAGAGTTTAGTATGTAACGGTCCTTTTCTTTCTTCTCTTTGAGTAAATAAAACTATATGGCTGAAGCACTTTGATGAAAGAAAAATGCATAATCTAGTGCCCAAAGACAAGAACCTGTGAAGTACTCATCTAAACAACGTTTATAAACCAAGAAAAAAGTGGGAAAAAATTTTTCACCTCAAGTACAAATAAAACATCGTAAACATGAGCTAACCTTTTACATATATTGGTTTATCAACAATAATCTTATCTTTGGAAGCCATTTGCAAGCGAAGAGCCTCTTTGTGAAGCAAACTGTTGTTATGCTCCTCTAGTGCACTCATCTGCATATTCCTACTGCCTTCATTTCCATAAGGATTCCTCCTATGCTTTCTACCATACTCTCTGCAAACAGAGCAGAATATCCTTGCTGTTCCTTCCTTCACATCTACATAAGCCCACTTGTATGTATCGGCCCATTCCTCTCTCCATCTTTTCACAACCTTCTTTTTTCTTTTCACCTGTTGTGTCTTTGCCAAGTCTTGATCTCCAAATGGTTGTTGAGAAACCATAACCATCTCTTTGCTCTCATCGTGCTCTTCAGCGGAAGAAGATTCTCGTGGTGGCACACCAATGAGAGGGGTCTGCACAAAGGAGGGGTCATCATCCCCAGGCCCAATTTCCAAGTCAATTTCTTCTCCTAGCTCCCTAACCACCAGGTGATGCCTCTGTGCATGTTGAATTAAGTTCATATCATCCATCGAAGAATTCATCCCCAACCCACCAACCGGCAGCAACATCCAGCATGACAATTTCAAATCCTTAATTCCCTGCACAGAAAAACATTGTGCACAATTTATATGGCTATACTGCTTTAATCACTGATATGATAAATTAAATTGACATAACTCCCCCCAACATATCTGCAATTCACTTTTAATACCCATGCAGATCTCTTTTACACATCCTACGAATGACAAAGTACATATATCTTTTTACTAGCCATGAATCATGCTTGAAACTAGAGGGAAGCTCAGTGTATGAAGCCTCCACCATGTACAGTCTAAGGAGGATTAAATATAGGCAGTCTCGCCAGCAAGCATGAACTGTATTTTGTTTGCTCTCAGTCATGACACCCCAAGTCATTATGGACTAACTTCACCGTTGTCCCAAGGTCCACCCCGTCCGATTTGAAATTGACTTAAAAAAATTCTAATTAAACCTTCACTATAATCTATAGCACCAGACCCAGTTTTTGGAACCATAACCAAAGAACACCTATGCTACACATACAGTCATGGATCTAGGGAGAGCAAGTGGGGGCAACCTCAGCATAAGGTCTGAAAAACTCTTTTAAACAACTTTTTCAGAAAATAAAAAGCTACCTCCGAGACTAAATTTCTGGATCCGTTCACCTACAGAAGTGTCTTTTCTTCACGACATATTTTATTAAAAAAAAACAAATTACAACACTTAATAAAAAAATTCTTCCCAAGTCCCCCGAGAAAATTCTCAAATCTTCTCTATATTTACAACACTTTCCAGTATGATCACCCCTCCGTAAAAGCTGCCTCTTAGCATTTAAAAAACCCTTCTGTCACGTTTTGGATCAAAACCCAACTAGTTGGATTTAAGAGCAAGAAACAACTTCCCAAACACCCACCCGACATTAATTCCGTATCCCCTATGAACAACCCAAAATTTGCCGACAAAAATTAAGCCAGAAGTAGAAAATTTCAAGGTCTGTAGCAACAACCTAATACAGAAAGTCGATTATAAAAATAAAAAACACAAACTTTCAGACGTTTGTATCCGATGTAAAATAGAATTGAAATTCAGAAGACAAAGAAGCACCACGTACCTAAAATTGAAAGTTCCAGCTGTCTTAACTTCTCTGAACTTGTTCACACGAATCTCTGTCGGGCTTGAAGTGGGAAGACCCACCGGAAAATCGTGTCCACGAATGAAAAAGGTGAAGAAGGTCAACTGGGTCTTGATCAAATTTTTATATAAAGTTTCTGAATTACGCATACAGATACAAATACGTTGATGATCAAATCGAGTTTCTAAATTACAAACACAGACACAAATACATATATAGACAAGTATACATGTACATGAGAGAGAGAGAGAGAGAGAGAGAGAGAGAGAGAGAGAGAGAGAGCTGTTTTTGTGAGGGTGATGTTTTGGAAGTAACTGGAATGGGGCTAGTGGAGAAGAGGAGGTAAAGGGTGAATAGGGGGACTCACAAGGCAAAAATGGGGCTTCTGCGAGGAAAAAGAAAAGTTAATGCTATCCAGTGCTGTTTTTAGGCGCGTGTAGTACACGCCCCAATCATAGCATAGTGTTATTGATGTACTTGTACCCACCGCTGCCACGCAAGGCCTTTCGTGGTTTGTCACATATGGTACAAAGTTAGAATTGGGCCAAACTTGAGTCTAAAAGAATGTTAATAGAATGGGTTGGGTTGGGTTAACCCTTCTACAAAGAAAAGGATCATGACCCAGAAACTGCTACCTATTGGGCTATATCTTGGGTTGGTTGGAAAAGATCGTTCATTATACAACGAATGAGGCCCATGATCCTGAAAAGACTAGGGAAATTTGAGTCGGTACAAAAAATTAGATTTATTTTAACTAAATTATATTAAGGAAACATATTTGGCCTTAAGTATATTTAAAAAAAAAAAAAGACTAAAAGGGTATTTATTACTTCATTACTCTCTCTCTCTCTCTCCTTCTCTCTCCATTACTCTTTCACTTTATCTTCTCTATTTTCTCTCTATATGTTTCTCTTTCTCTTTTTCTCTCATATTGATAATTTTTTTTAAATATATAAAGATTTTGATTTAATTTTTTCATCTCTCTCTTCCTCTATTTTTTTCTCTCTTTCTCTCTCTCTCTCTCACTCTCTCTCACTCCTTCTACCCTTATTTCCTTATTCTCTCATTTTTTCTCTCTTCTTATATCAATGTTACAAAAACACAATTACACTAATTAGTTACATCAATTAGTTACAATTACCCTGTAATACACTAAACAGTTACTCGTGTGTTTTAATAAATTAAATAGTTATACTAAATAATTATACAAAATTACAACACCAACTCAATTTTTCATTTACATAAATCAAAAAGTTACACCAATTATATACACCAAATTGAATTTATTATTAAACAAAATAATTTATCATTATACTAAATTTGTATAATTGGTGTAACGATGTCGTGATATTAAATAGTACAACTATTTATCTTATGTAAACACCTGAATGACAAATTGGGTTGGTGTTATAAATTTATGTAATTGTTTGGTGTATTATAAAACAATTGTAACTGATTGGTGTAACTCATTAGTATAATTATGTTGTTACAATGTTTAAATAAAGAGAGTGAGAGAGAAGAGAAAGAAATAGGGTGAGAGAGATGGTTGGAGAAAATATAGGGGATAGAGAAAATGGGAAGAGAGATGAAAAAATAAATTAAATCTCTTATATATTTGAAAAGAAAATAAATTATCAATGATATATAGAGAGAGAAAATAGGGGAGAGATGACGAAAATAATGGGGAAAAAGATAGAGAGAAAATAGGGGAGAGATAGTGAAAGAATCTAATGAAATCTTTACATATTTGATTAGATATATAACTGCCAACAAATAATGCAATATTTAAGGAAGGGTATTTAGGTAAAATAATTTTGATTTCATTGAATTTTGTACCTAAACACAATATGTTTTATTAAAATTGAACTTAATAGAGTAAACAACTTATCCATATATTTTTTCTCAAATAAGTCTAAAAAATTGTACTCACCACCAAAAAACTCAAAAGACTACTTATTGGGTTTCTATTTATTTTTGAGGAATTTGAAGACCGGTCCCTCTATATGGACTTGTTTAGACTTAAATCCGTCAAGAAAACCTATTTATTATAAAATTTATTTTTTGTCAATTTTACTAGATTGTCTCTTCTCTTTTATAAGTGAAGTGAAATTAAAAATTAAAAACTCATAAATTTTAGAAGTTTGACTAACATTAAAGTTCATAACATTATCTCTGCACCATTTTTTCAATGTGAGTTTGTGTAACTTTTATGAAGAAAGCAACCAAAAATTTCACTTGAATTCTCATAAATATAAAAAAATTTATTGAGAAATTAAAATCAGTTTCCATTTTAGTTTAACTTAAATATTTACAAAATTCAATCGAATTTAAGTTTGGGTGATACTATTTCCACCCCCACAAATTTTTATTCTCACCCCCATTTAATTTATCATTATCAAATTACTAAATTCATCCCTTCTATGGACTTGACTATGGTGCAACCAAAAAAAATTCGGTATCATATCTCCAAAATTTACTACTTCAAAGGATATTTTTACAATTTTTGCGGGTTATTTTACAACCAAAATATTTACCACTTTTGTGGTTGATTTACCACTTTAATGGGTGTTTTTACCACTATTATAAGTATTTTTACTACATTTGTGATAACTATTTTTACCATGTTTCTTAAATACAAAAAAAATTATTACTTTTGTGATTGATTTACTACATGTGGGTGCTTTTACAACATTTGTGAATGTTTTTACTACTGTTGTGATAAATATTTTTACCATTTTTTTTAGTATCACAACAGTGGTAAAACTATCCACAAATGTGGTAAAATCTATCACAAATGTGATAAATTTTTGTATGATGCCGAAAAGCTTATGGGATGTACCGTAGTCTACTACCCCTTTTATACCCGCCCTATTAGTAATGAAGTCCACATCATGCTACATACACTTTGTTTAATAAGTAAATTCACTTTATATTTTGTCATAATTACGATTTCATTCTCTATTTCATCTCATACACTCACAAAAATAATTTTTTGCTATAAATTTTTTCAGTGAAATACAAGTTAATATTACTTCTCAATTTAATTATATGTTTGATTTTCTATTTATTGTATGAATTTTTACTTTTTTCTGTATGTTTTAATATCATTGTCAAGTTTAATAAAATTTTATTTACAATTTATGTGTGTGTATATATATGTATGTTTTTAGATTATTTATTATTTTTTTATCTTATTTAGATTTTACATCTATCTTGTTTGTTTGTTTTTTCGATTTTGTGCTTGTGACATATATATTATTTATCTATTATACCATTCGAATATTATAATATTTTTATTTTAATATAAAATATGACCTATATTATAGTCTTTCAACTCGTTTTGATGCAAAAAATCTATATTTAAAGTCCAATTGTTTATTTGAAAATTTTAAAAATAATCTCTAATTAGAATCATAATTAACGATCTAATTAATGTGTAGTATGAGATAGAGAGTTATAAGAGAGATAAAAGTCTTAAAATTGTAGAAAGAATGAAAGTCTTGCTTAAAAAATTATTGGGAGGGGGGGAGAGTGGAAATTTCGTATTAGGACCGTGGGATCAATATTTTCTTCAAGCGATCTTGTGAAACCCGGGAAAAATTTTAACTTTTTTTGAAAAAAGGGTAAAATAGTAATTTGTCATTATAGCGCGGGTTAAAAAATTAGTATTTTTCTAGACCTTTGTGTGATTAAACGGACCTCACCGTTGGATTCACATTGCGAAATCTAGCTGCTCTGTCAATTTTCGTCGAATTTCGAGATAGTCGAGTTTTTTACATTTTTCGAGGCGACGGGTGTCCGGTGACTCCCAAAAACGAAATTTAAAAAAGAAATTTGAAAGTTGGAAAATATTTTAAATAAATTTTATATAAAATATTTTGAGCTTAAACTAGTGCGAAATTAAATCGTTTCGAGGCGAAAACGGACCGAGCAAGTGGGGGACACGTGGCGCGACTCGGGGCATGTATTGGAAATTATAAATAGTGTTAAATATTAGATATTTTAGCAGAAATATCTTTGTATTCTGCTGGTTCACACATTGGAGAGAAAGAGGAGAGAAAAGAGAGAAAACAATTCTTCCTTCTTCAATATCCGGAGTTTCGTCGCTCGAATCAATTCGGACCAAGACCCAAAGTTCATTTTCTCGACGAGGGTTATGCGTACGTACCAAAAAGAGTGAATTTCACCGAAGATTCAAGAGGAGACTTTGGGGAAAATCAAAACTTTGAGGTTGATTTGGTGTTATAGAAGTTCTTACACTTCTATTGAGGTAGGGTTCCCTCCTACCTTGGTTTTATTCTTACCTTAAGTGGGCTTTTAGTAGCTGAAATTGGTTTATATGTGGGATGTCCAAGGGCTGTCCAAATGGACTGTTTTTGTGCTGAAATTGGGACTGTTTTGTGCACTAATTAAGGGC